GTGTGTGTGTGTGTGTGGTGTTGTGTGGTGTGTGTGTGTGTGTGTGTGTGTGTGTGTGTGTGTGTGTGTGTGTGTGTGGTGGTGCGTGTAATGCGTGCATGTACATCTGCATGTGGCGGTGTGTGGCAGTTAATTTAATCTAATTCATCCATTTTGCCCCCCCCCCCCGCTCTACCCTTCCTGTGGCCAGGAGCGCGTCGAGAAAACCATCCTCTTTGAGGGGCGGCCCTGCTGCGCCACCAGCAGCGCCTTGTCCCGGATGTAGAAGTCCTCCTCCCGGCGGCCGCCGAAGGTGTCCACGAGCTCCTTGACCAGCTGCCAGGGGACTCTCCGTGCTCTGGCTCCCTCGCTCGGCCCTCTAGCCGCGCGCCGCCCCGCCGCCCGGGCGCGCCCTTCCTCGCGTCCTTGGGGACCGCCTTCTCCGTTCTTCGGCCCTCTCTCCTTCACCAAGGTCTCTTCTCAGATGTTCCTCTTCTCCCTCGTGGTTGGACATCTCTGTCCTTTCGTCGGCATAGGCCTCTCGCTCTCGGTACGCCGCTCCTGAGGTCGAGCCCGCTGCCCTTGGATGAGCGACGGGTGGTGCGGTCACCGACGTCGCTTCCTCAACGCCGCCCCCGCCCATCGCACGTCGCAGGATCATGGCGCCCGAGGAGGAGGAGAGGAGGAGAGGAGGAGAGGAGGAAGTAGCCGCAGGAAAGGCCAGAGGGAGGAGTGGCTCCTCAGGGTCGAGCTTCTAGGCCTACTTCTCGCCTTGCTGGTTGCGTGAGGTGCAAGTCGAGTCCGCCGGCGAGATCGCGGCTCAAGGGCTTCTTATCGCTGGAAAACAAAGTCTAGAGCCTTTCGTCTTATTAATGCCGGTGATAGATGTTCATCCTCTCGCGGTTTTACTCTTCTTTGAGCAGAGAGAGACGAGAGAGAGAAGAGAGAGAGAGAGAGAGTATACGAGAGACGAGATAGATAGATAGGATAGATAGTATAGATTACGATACGATTTAGAGAGAGGAGAGATGAGAGAGAGAGACCGAGAGAGAGAGAAGAAGCAGAAGAGAAAGGTGAGGGTAATCGAGGATGAAAAGAAGTGGGATAGGCCAGAAAAGAGAGATCACGGACAGGGAAAAAAGGAAAATCGGAAAATCCTTCCGGAAATTCCCGAGGACAATGATTTTACACCCCCCATCCTTTCTCCGAGGCGTGGAGCGACAATGACGCCCAACTCCCGTCCTGCAGCCTTAATATTCAGATCAAAGACCTTGGCGAAAGACGTTTGTCCCTCCTCCTCCCCTCACTCCGCCTACCACCTGCTCCTTCCTTCTCATCGGCATTTCCCCCTCCTCCTCTCATCTCTCTTCCTTCCCTCCGCTCCCCGCCTCCCTTCGCCTCCCCCCCTCTCCTCCTCCCTTCTTCGCATCCCTACACGACCTCTCTCCTTCTTCTCTACTCCTCTCTATCTCCTCTTCCTCTCCTTCCACTCTCCTTCGTCACTTTTCTCCTCTCCCTCTCTCTCTTCTCCTATTCTCCGTCTCCTATCGCATCACTCATACTTCCTCCTTTCCGTTCAATCCCCTCCTCTGACGGGGCTTTCGTCCTTCTCTTCCTCTCACGTCATCCATACCTCCTTCTTCTCTGCCTCTCTTTCCTCTCTCTCTCTTCCCTGCCTCCTCCTCCTCTTATCATCCTCCCCCCTCCTGTACGCGTTGCCGTCGTCTCCTGTCTTCTCCTCACGCCCGCGTCTTAATATTAACCAGGACTTCATGAGATTACCTCATTCGAGCACCGTTGTTTTCGTGTAGGGGGAAGGGAGGCTGAAGTCAGATGGGACGGTGTGAACGGAAGTGCGATGAGGGAGGGAAGGAGGGAGAGGCGAGAGGGAGGGAAGGAGGGAGAGGAGAGGGAATGGAGGGAGAGGGCGAAAGGGAGAAGGGCGAAAGGGGATGTGTGGTGTGTGTGTGTGTGTTGTGTGTGTCCTGTGTCGTGTGCTTGCTTCTCGTTGTGGTGTTGAGAGGAGAGAAGAGAGAGAGAGAGAGAGAGAGAGGAAGAGAGATGAAGAGAGAGTAGACGAGAGAGAGAGAGAATGAGAGAATGAAGAGGAGAGAATGAGAGAAGGAGAGAATTGAGAGAATGAGACGAAGGAGAGAAAGTGAGAGAACGGAGAGAAGGAGAGAGACTACTCTCGAGAGAGAGAGAGAGACGTATACGTCAGACGATCGCAGAGAGAAGAGAGAAGAGAGAGAGAAGAGAGAGAAGAAGCAGAGTCAGAGAGTCGTCGAGAGGTCGCATCGCAGGTGCTGCTCTCGCATGTACGGTGAAGTGCTATAGAGTGGAAATGGTAAAGAGAGAGATGACTGATCTAAAAGAGTCACTCGAGAAGAGGGATGCAGATCGAGAGAGAACGAGAGTACGAGAGTAGTCAGAGAGAGAGAGGAGAGAGAGAGAGAGAGAGAAGAGAGATCGCAGAGAGAGAGGAGAGCCGGAGAGAGATGAGGAGGAGAGAAGAGGGATGAGGGGAGAGGAAGGAGATCGGGAGGAGAGGAAGAGAGAGAGAGAGAGAGAGAGAGAGAGGAGGAGAGAGAGAGAGAGAGAGAGAGGAGGAGAGAGAGAGAGAGAGAGAGAGGAGAAAGAGAGAGAGAGAGAAGGAGAGGAGAGAAAGGAGACGAGAAGCGAGAGAGAGAAGGAGAGAAAGGAGAGAAGAGAGAAGGCAGAGAGAGAGAGAGAGGAGAGAGAGAGAGAGAGAGAGAGAGAGAGAGAGAGAGAGAGAGAGAGAGAGAGAGAGAGAGACGAGAGAGAGAGAAGAGAGAGAGAGAGAGCGAGAGAGCAGAGAGGGAGAGAGAGAGCGAGAGAGAGAGAGAGAGAGAGAATGAGAGAGAGAGAGAGAGAGAGAGAGAGAGAGAGAGAGAGAGAGAGAGAAGAGAGAGAGATGACGAACCTTCAGAACAGAGCGCAGACCCCTCCCAGGCGCCCCTGACGCAGAGAGAGGACCGCGGCGGGTGTCCGGAAGGCCTCCGCCAGAGCACCAGGACCCGCCTCGGTGCGAAGCCTTACCGGAGGCGGATCCCGACGAGAAAAAAAAAAAAAAAAAATAACATGGTGCAAAGTTCTCTCTCTCTCTCTCTCTCCTTGCAGTTATCGGAATGTCTCGCTCTTTTTGTATTCATCCGTTTTGATTCCAGTGGCGTCACGGCGAAGACAGGAGTAATATCCAGGGTAAAAATGGTAGTAGTGGTTGTAGGATTAGTATCATTAATATTATTGGTTTCGTTATCAATCTTACGTTTATCATTATCATATCATCTTTACTATTATTACCATCTTTTCATTATCATCACATTTACTATCATTATCATTACTATTATTATTATCATTATTATTATTAATAATACTTATTGTAGAAGTAGTGGCAATAAAAATGAAATATAAAAGAACAAATAAAATCAAATAAAAATAAACAAACGATGAAACAGAAGAAACTAGAAATATATAAAACCACCATACTTTAAAAAAATAATAATAAAAAAATAAAAAACTACAAACAAATAATAAAAGAAAAAAAAAAAAAAAAAGAAAATAAAAACGAAAAACAGAACAAAACAAGAGCGAGAACAAAAGCAAACCAACCCCAACAAAAGCACGGCACTTAAAACACGTCAGACGAAAATGAAAACGAAAAACAGAACAAAACAAGAGCGAGAACAAAAGCAAACCAACCCAAACAAAAACACGGCACTTAAAACACGTCAGACGAAAATAAAAACGAAAAACAGAACAAAACAAGAGCGAGAACTAAATCAAACCAACCCAAACAAAAGCACGGCACTTCAAACACGTCAGACGAAAATGAAAACGAAAAACAGAAAAACAAAGCAAGAACAAAGCAAACCAACCCAAACAAAAACACGGCACTTTAAAACACGTCAGACGAAAAATGAAAACGAAAACAGAACCAAACAAAAGCAAGAACAAAAGCAAACCAACCCAAACAAAAACACGGCACTTAAAACACGTCAGACGAAAATGAAAACGAAAAACAGAACCAAACAAAAGCAAGAACAAAAGCAAACCAACCCAAACAAAAGCACGTCACTTCAAACACGTCAGACGAAAACCCACGCCCGCAGGCATACCAACTGACCTTTTTTTTCTCTCTTTTTAAATGACTCATTTCCCGAAAGAATCAAAGCCCCGTTTTCTTTATAAATAGAACCTGATTCAACATAACCTATGCTTCCCTGGCTGGGGGGGGGGGTGGGGTGGGGGGGTTGAAGAGAGGGGGGGAGTGGGATATGGGTATGGAGGGCGGGTGTGAGGGGGGTTAGTGAGGGCGGGTGGTGAGGGGGGTTAGTGGGTGGGGGGAGGGAGGGGAGAGGGGTAGAGGTTGGCGGATATGAGTGGGGAATAGGGGCAAGGGTAGGGAGAGTGGGGTAGGGGGAAGGAAGGACTGAGGGAGTGGCAAGACAGGAGGAGGGGAGGGGAGTGGGGGGTAGCGAAGGGGAATAGGGCAGGGGGAGGGAGGGGAGTGGGGGTAGCGGCAGGGAGGGGAGGAAGTGGGGGGGAGGGAGCAAGGGAAAGGGGCAGGGGGAGGGAGGGAGTGGGGGGTAGCGAAGGGGAAGAGGGGCAGGGGGAGGGGAGGGGAGTGGGGGGAAGCGAAGGGGAATAGGAGCAGGGGAGGTCGAAGAGAGGGGATAGGAGGATAAGGCCCTTATCTTATCCTATTCTTATCACAAT